GCTGCGCAGAATGAAAACATGCAGGAAAACGATGGCCAAACTTTAGCAGCATCTTTAATACACTAATCGTAAACTAACACCATACAATCACGTTATTGTGTGAGCTGTGCCAATTCTGTTTTTTCGAATCCGGTTTCTGAACAAAAAGCTCGCTTTACCTACACGACCGGTTGAATAATGACGATCTCTTCACGCAGCACTTCGCTGGAGGAATGATCACATTTGATTGTATAAGTAAACATATTAATATGCCTTAAAATAGCTGTCAATAAGAGTTTCTTTCTTCTGGGAGTTTCTCTTGCTTGCTGCGGTATTCCTCAGCATTCTTAAAAGTAAAACGTCTGATGCGGTGGACTCGGGTTGCTGTTCTACATACTGTTTTTTGCAGTATGTTTCGGTGAATCCGGCGATTGGAAAATCGGCAATCGGATAATCGGAGGTCTACTGTATGACATTTTGCTATCACTTTGAACAAACTAGGATTTTTTTTAAGATTCTGTACAGTATGTATCAACAGAAGGCTGTACTACCTATACAGGGTGTTCGAAAAATAGACTGAAATATTTTAGAGGGAAAAAAAAGTTTCTATAAACATGGGTCCGGAAATGCAGAGCTTTAAAGGTACAGGGTGATGAATTTAAGTTTTTTTAATAATACCTTAAAAAGTATTTACTCGATTCTGTTGAAATCTGGCAATATTATTAGTTCTGTTAAGAGGCTAATTTAGCCATGAATAGAATGAAATTATTAGGTCCAGTGGCATCCCGTGGGGCACCTTATTATATTATTGGCAAAAAAATGTACGCAACTGGCTTTTTTGTAACTTTAATAGTTATTGTTTGATTCAGCATCTAAAAATACAACTTCTTTGCTTCTTATTTCTTTTATTTCACTTCATTTTTGAGAAAAAACCGTTCTATTGCATGTCACTCGACAAGTAGTTATTTATTATACAAGAGAAAAAAGTACTAGATTTTTAGCTAAAATCTAGTATTTTCCCGTGTATAATACACATTTTTTCTGTGACGGGAAAAATGACGATTTAATATTGCAATCACTATATTATTACAATATTTAAGTCAGAAAATTATCGATGTGAAATTTGAATTTTGAATTTAGTCTATGTTGTACTTATGGCGACAATTAGACCTGCGTTGTTAAGAAAACTTTTAAAGTAATCAAATAGCTGTCAATTTAATTTTGTAATTTGATTTGAAAGATTGTGAAGTTAGTGGTTGTTTAGAAGTTATTTTTAATACTATAAGGTAAAAAATGTCTGATTACGAGTTTTCTTTGACTCCACCAGAATTAGTAGAAGTAGCCAAAGTAGCGTCACAACAATTATTGCCAGCTAAATCGCGGATTTCGACTGTCGTACCAAATAGTTTAAGCAACGTGTCATTCATGCAATGCACATTTAATAATTCTACTTTTGATATAAAGGAAACGAAACTTTATTTTATAATAAAATATTCTAAAATATAATATCTACCTTTGCTTAAGTGTTTATACAATATCCGGGAAAAAAAAGTAATTTCATAAAAAGTGACATTTTTGTTACCTGCCAACAAAGATAAAATGTCAAAATTTTTCCTGTCACAGAAAAAATTGGTTTATTAATTTTTGCAAAAAAAATCAAAGTGCCTTTGAAAACAAAAAATCGTTTCTGCATGGGTTTGGCATTTGCTCGTCAGTTCTTCCTTCTACAAAAAAAGAATTATTCACGTAATTTTCTTTGCGAAATTTCTATATTAAGTTTTTCTTTCGGTTTTTGTGATGGCAAATTAAACTTTTGAGGAAATGCCAGACATGCATGTAATGTATGCACGTGCTTATAGTAACTGTTATGCATCGAGGCGCCTGTATGCAGAAGCGTTTCCCCATCGGCATCAGAGATATTAAAACCTTTGAAAGCGTATACCGTAGATTACGGGAAAAAGGTAAATTTTCTTATTTCTTTTTCGTGATGTCTTTGACAATAATACTAAGAATGCGTGAGTTTGACGAGGCAGTTTTACGTGCCGTAGAACAACATCCTGGTATCAGTACCAGGACAACTAGATCGGGGGGTAATCATTCCGACAGCACTGTGTGGCAGGTTTTCTCCGAGCAACTTTTATCCCTAACATGTCCAACGTGTGCAAGCATTATTACCAAGAGATTTTCTACCTCGTTTACAGTTTTGCCAATGGTATTACCAAAAGGTTAATAATAATAGGACTTTTTACAGACGAAGCAGGATTTCGGCTGCATGGTATTGTAAATTACCATAACACTCATGTAAGGAGTGAGGAATATCCTCGTGCTTACGTACAATGTCGTCACCACGAACAATTTTCTTGAAATGTGTGGATGGGTTGGTCAGTGGCGGCCGGTCCATAGGGGCGAAAAGGCTACAGCCCCCCAAGACAAAATGCGAATTAACAAAAAATTTAAAATATGATTTTGTGATTAAATAATTTCCAGATATATACGAAAATTCAATCAAAACCTGAATTTTAATAGTAGTCAGTTACGCAACACGCAATATATATATATATATATATATATATATATATATATATATATATATATTATCCGATCCCAATACCCCAAAGTCGCGAGCTAGATTCCCTATCGATTCGAGGCTAGAATAATTTTTGCCGCGATCGCCGACCTGATTGAGTGGCTCGCTAGGTCATACCCCCCACGCGCTTACGAGTTTTATACGGGATTTTAACACGCGAGGTGGCGAAATAATTTTTAGCCAGTCCCGATTTACGTGTGTACGAAATCGCTTCGTCGCGTCCCCGTGCCGTCGTTCGGGCGTTCAAAAAGTTTAAAATGGCAAATGAAGTACAAAATTTGTTAAAAGGTGAATTTTCTCGGCTTCCGCTTGCTGAAAAAATAATAATAAAATCCCTTGGAAGGCCGATTCCAAATATCAACCTTACTCAGGCTGATAAATCGACGAAAGCTGGTTGTTTTAAGAGACATTTTAAGAAAGATATCTATAACAAAAACAAATGGATATGCGGTTGTGGCACATTAAACGCCCTGTTTTGTTTTCCGTGCTTACTGTTTTATTCAGATGCAGCGGAAAAGACATGGACAAGAACTGGATTTAAAGATTTAAAGCATATAAACCAGAAAATTAGTAAACATGAAAATTCGGCTCGTCACATGATTTGTTCGACAGAATTAGCTTTATTGGGAACAGCTAGTATCGCTGCTCAGTTAGATTCCGCTTACAGGCAAAATATTATTAAGCACAACGAGCAAGTGGACAAAAATAGATATCTTTTAAAAAGAATAATAAACTGTATAAAGTTTTGCGGTAAATTGGAATTAGCGTTAAGAGGGCACGACGAAAGTGAAGACTCTGAAAATCGTGGCATTTTTCGAGAGTTGATTAATTTTACGTCCGAACTGGATACAATATTAAAGGAACATTTAAAAAGTGCGACACTGTTTAAGGGTACTTCTAAAACAGTACAAAATGAAATACTAGATAGTATGTTGGAAGTCTGCCAACAAGAAATTCGACAGCAAATTAATGCAGCAGAGTTTTTAGCTATACAGTGCGACGAAACAACAGATATTTCACATCATTGTCAAATGGTAATGATATTTAGATATCTCCATGAAGGTGAAATACAAGAAAGATTTTGGCGTTTTTTGAGCGTTACTGACAAGACAGCTGAAGGTTTGGCAAAGTGTATCGAAGAAGAACTAGGCCCATTATTAAAAGATTCACCCCACAAATTAATTGCGCAAACTTATGATGGTGCAAACGTAATGAGCGGTAGCAGTGGTGGAGTTCAAACAAAAATCAAACAAAAATATCAGAACGCTCATTTTATACACTGTTACGCTCACCAACTGAACTTAATTATGCAGAGAGCAGCCAGCCAAAATCCAAAAGTAAAAGTGTTTTTTTCAAACCTGTCGGCAATTCCAAGTTTCTTCTCCAACTCCACGCACAGATGCGATTTATTGGAAAAAATAGTTAAAACCAAAATGCCAAAGGTTGCGCCAACACGGTGGAATTATAACATTCGCACAGTCAGTGCCGTTTTTGAGAACCGTGAAAGTCTTATTGATTGTTTCCGGGAGTTAGAGAATAAATGTGATAAAACAATTACTAGTAAGGAGGCATACGGTTTAAGAAGAGCACTCGAAGATTCTGATTTCATCTTTTTTTGGACTTTTTTTCACAAAACCCTACCGCACGTAGCTATTTTGTTTAACCAGTTTCAAAGTAGGAATAAAGACAGTGTACAACTTTTAAAAGATATTGACGTATTTGAGAAGGCCAATGGAATTGATTAGGGACACTACAGAGGATATACAGCAAACTGTTGAAAATGAGCATGGAGACAATGGAAATAAACGCAGAAAAGTAGCACCCGAAGAAAGAAATTGTATTATTTCAAAAGAAGTTTGCGATATAATAATTGTACAGACAAAAGAGAGACTTTCTTACAGGGGTCATCTAGAAGCTGCATCTTTATTAGATACACAAAACTTCACAAACTATTCGAGATATTTTCCAGCAAAAATACTGAATTCAGTTGTGACTTATTATCCAATGGTAAATAAAGAAAAACTGAAAACCGAATTAGAAGTAATGTACATGAGGGAAGACTTCAAAAATATTACAGGTGGTTTGAATTTGCTGTCCCTATTGACTAATAACAACCTAGAGGAAACTTTTAGCGAAGTAACTAAGTTGTTGCAAATAATTATAACTACTCCCATGTCAACTTCCGAAGCAGAGCGCTGTTTCTCAACCCTTAAGAGGATAAAATCGTTTTTAAGAAACTCGATGGGCAATGAACGACTGAATGCATTGGCAATGATGTCTGTTAATAAGAATCTGGTACATAATATCAGCAATTTCGACGAAAAAGTGATGGAACATTTTATTTCACAGAAAGACAGAAGATTAGACTTTACATATAAACATTAAAAAATATTTTGTAATAAATAGAAGTGTGAAGTGTGACAGTTGAAACACAATGTTTGCTCTAGCTGTAGGTAGGTATACTTAGTCGTTTATAATACAATAATACATTTAGGTATACCGTATTTCTGTTCTCTTTTCCAGTTATTTATAGTTACATGTGTTGTAAGAAAGTGAAAAACTATACTTTTGAGTACTGTTGTTCTTTTGATAATAGATGCTCTGTTGCTTTCATATTAGATGCTGCTTTCTTTTGCGATAAGTTCTCGTACCTAAAATATGTTTGTTCCTATACAGAGGACTGTACATAAAATATATAGGTATAGGATTGCCAACTGATCCATCCACAAAATCAGGACATAAAAAATGCAAAAAAAATTATAGCTCTAAAAATGTATATTTGAATTTGAAGGCTCAAAATGGAAGTTTTTGGGCGTGGCACCGTAAAAATTCTTTGCCTCCGGCGGTGACTGCGGCAGGCCACCCTTCCCTACAATAGCCCCCCATTTCTCACAGCCACCGGCCGCCACTGGGGTTGGTGAAAAGTGGATTGGTCTTTTTTTTCTTCTAAATGTACATCACCAAATAATTTTTATCACGATAGAAGAATTGAGAAATAAAATCGTAACTGCTTTCAAAGAAATAAGTCTAGTGAGAAGGTGTACGGAAATGGATGGTGGACATTTCCATCATTTTAGTGTACTTTATGTCATGGTACCTATTAAAAAAAAAATTTTTACAAGGCACTTGTATTTTTTTAGCAAAAATTATTAAACCAATTTTGTCCATTGACATGCAGTAAAACGGTTTTAATTTTTTTTTTCTCGAAAACGAAGGAGATACGAAAAAATACAAGGAGCAAAGTTATATTTTTAGATGCTTAATCAAATAATAAATATTAAAGTTACGAAAAAGGCAGTGGCGTATTTAAATTCAGGGCTAATTAGCTTCTTAGTACAATAAATAATATTACCAAATTTCAACAGAATCGAGTAAATATTCATTAAGATATTAAATTTTTTTTAATTTATCACCCTGTATCTTGAAAACTCTGCATTTCCGGACCCATGTTTATGGAAACTTTTTTTCATATTTATTAACAAGGGATCACCCTCTACAATATCTCCGTCTATTTTTCGAACACCCTGTATATACAATATAAACACTAAGCCCATTAGAACGTTTAACCAGTATATTGCATTAGTGGTCATACTCGACCAATGCAAAACAGTGTTTTATAGTTGAACCGTAAGAGCATCAAAAATTATCTATCTATGCAAAGATAGGATAGTATGGTAAACCTATATACGATCTAGTTTGTTTCGTTCCTCTGTAATCATTTTTGCTACAGCTGCTTCGCGCTTGTTTCGTTTTTTACGATGGCAAGCTTCAGTGAGCAACGTGCTGCTGTGAAATTTTGTTTTCCAATTGGTAAAAATGCTGCTGAAACTATTTTAGTGTAGAAAATAGCTTACAAAGATGATGCTATGGGAAAATCTCAGGTGTACGAGTGTGCTCGATTTAAAAATGGCGACATGTCAATTGATGACAAACCTCGCTTTGGACGTCCATCAACTCCCGAATCGACGAAAATGTTGAAAAGATTCGAGAGCTTGTGCTTGCAGACCGTCGACTGACAATCGATCAACTATCCGAAAGTAGTGGGTTGTCCTGGAGTTCGGTTCAGCGAATTTTAACAGAAGATTTGGGAATGAAAAGGGTTGCTGCCAAGTTTGTTCCTCGGGCTCTGACTGACAATCAAAAAGAACACCAAGTTGAAACATGTCGTGCTGTGAAACAACAGCTTGAACCTGATCCAAATTTTCTGTCAAAGATCATCACTGGTGATGAGACTTGGTGCTACGGTTATGAACCAGAAACGAAGCAACAGTCAAGTCAATGGAAGACGCCATCGCCACCCCGTCCAAAAAAATGTCCTCAAGTCAAATCAAACATCAAAACAATGCTGATTTTTTTTTGATGTCAAAGGCGTAGTCCATTCCGAATTTGTTCTCCCGGGCCGCTCTGTCAATCTGACCTTTTATTTGGAGGTTTTAAGACGATTGCGAAACAGTGTTCGGCAAAAAAGGTACCAGATTTGTGGAAGTGAGTAGACTGGTTCTTCCACCATGATAATGCATCTGCGCACACAGCCATCTCTGTTCGACGGTTTCTGACTAAAAATGGCATGGTTCCGCTGCCTCATGCACCTCATTCGCCTGACCTGGCTCCGTGCGACGTTTTCTTGGGATGAAAATGGGCGTGGAAGGACACCGCTTTGACGATATTGGAGAGGTCAAGAAAAAACCGAGGGAGACATTTCTGAAGAAGACTTCAAAAAATGTTTCAAGCAGTGGAAGCACCGGTGGGATAATTGTATTAGTTGTAGTGGACAGTATTTTGAAGCAGGTAAGATTACTTTGTGAAAAAGTTGAAGAAAAATAGATTTTAAAAAATAATTCCGTTTTTTTTTTTTGGTGCCCCCTCATACTCCCGATCATTCACGAATGAAAACCCGAGTCCGGCCCCGTACATGATTTAAATAAACAGTTTGAATGTTTTATTTGCATGCTTAGCTGTTTCAAATGTACTTTTTCTACATAAACTAAATTACCTAAATTGATTAAAAATTAAAAAAAAAACAGGTTCATGGTTTACTATTTTCAAGCACATCAGTTCAATAGTTACTTTCAAATAACCTGGTTCTAGACAAAGTAATTTGATCAAACCAAATAATTTATTTACTTGAGATAATCAAAAACATAATTATGGCTAATCAAAATTTCTCAGACAAATTGTTTAATTCACCACGTTTTCTGAGTGTACTAGTAAACTTGATTAGTGTTACAAGAACTAGGCGCCATGTGAGTGTAAGTCAAAACTTCAAGGGCACCCTATAGATATAAGATATAATTGAAGAGCGAGCAACGTAACTCGGCTTATCATTGATTCAAAAATCGACTAACAGCGTCTGACAGACAAAAATAGGAACAAGCAGTCAAAGTTCAAGCATAAAGATGATCTGAAAAGTAAACTGGTTGATAATATGTTCGAGTTTTCAAACCATTTGGATGTTGTCGATTAGAGATGCTCTAAATGGAATATTTCGTGTTCTTAGAAGCATTGTCACAGATGTTGCTTTACCCTGTACAAGATTATCATAATTAGAAAGTACAAAGCTAACCTTCTTTTCCACTATTCTGTTTACCAAGTAAGGAACGTTACATTTTGATGTGTAGATCTCCACTAGCTGCATACTAAACGGTTATTGGCTGTTGCCCTCGTTTAGATAAAGCCAAAGCGCACTGCAACTACAAACTACAACTACAGCACACATCAGCCAGAATAAATAATGCTGGTAGTAGTAGTAGTAGTAATGCATTTGCTGCACTGGAACTGGACTCCGAATATCTTTCATCATGTGCATATTCATGAGCTGCCTAACAATAACATTATATCAAACCTGGTTCCCACTCAGTAACATCATAAAGAACATGCCGGGTATAAATACGATGATAATAACTTTTATATTATACACAGTCAGAGAGAAAGATAGAGAGATATTACCATAAAATACATACATATGCAAAATGTATTTTTCAATGTATAAAATGGAAACTGGTGCATAATTTAATACTGTAGAACGCATAAAGTAATCCAAAGATGACTGCTGACAGGATAAAGTAAATCGGGAATTGTAAATGTACTTATTTACATTTTGTGTACTGGTGCGTTGGATGCTAAGGTTATTGATGTTATGTGGTTACAGTAAACAATAAGTGCTATCGGAATTGGGACAAGAACAACACTCGCTTACAAAGCTGTTCCCTACACTTTCAGAAAATACCGTCACCATCATTGCGCTAACATTTATTTTTTAATAAAATTTGCTTCATATTAAAATATGCTGTAGACTGGCGTTTCAATAAAATGATCAGACGTCTCTCAGGAAAAGTTTATCTCAACCGAAAATCCATCTGATCACATCTGTTTGGCTTTGTCAAATAAATATTTAACAATGCCCTTCCTTATTCTCACTGCGTGAGTTCAACTAAAATGTACGTATCTGAGTTTATATATACTGGGCTACTTTTTTAACACACTGCATACTAACGGCAAAAATGAGTGAACTCTGGTTTTACTTGGTCACCATGGAAATTTATTCATCTTTACCTTATCTTTCAAAATAGTAGGTTGATGAAGTTGGCCGTTTTCTTGCATTGATTAGCAACTAATATCAAATCTATAGCATGTTAGTAGCAGTAGAAATAGTAGTGGAGGAGGGAAGGCGAGATATTGACAACTAGGAAATCTTTGATACCTTTTGCCGACCCTGTTGTGCCAACCTACCTCTCGTATGTTACACTCGAATCATTCTAAGATGTACATCCACAAACAGATTCTTTTCAAAAGTTTTTGTCCGATGCAATGGACCATCCACTCACTATTGGCCCACCTTATACCATTATTACATGTATATTATAAATCTCAAACGTTGACTCATACATAGGGAAGATAAATGGCAACACTGGCTCGGTGCTGCGCGCTTAGGGACCCATAACTCAAGTCTACCGGTTTATCAAATTAGACAACACCTATCCAGTTTTGCCAATTAGTGCACTTTCTGATTTTTGTATGGTAACATGCTGTACATTAGATGATATAATCGAAAGATAACTGGTTTTAAAAAGACAAACGAGCCATCCTTGCCTAAAATATATACCACAAAAAATAGCAATAAACTAACACCGACAATAAAAGTCTTGACGCAAAATATGAGATACAGCCCTCAAAAATGTTTATAATGTTAATCGTGGAAGTGGCATCGTAAAACCCACCCTAAAGTATGTTACTACACCTAATACGTTTTACAGTGTTGTCTGTAAGGGTACAGATCTGCGCTCGTTCAGAACCTTTCATATGCAAATGCCCACTTTAGGGCTACTTTTTATATCCTTTTTATTCCACATGCTTTTACCCTGCCAATCCCGATGTAATCTAAATGCTCATACGTTCTCGCAGAGCCGTATTGCCGAATACATTCGAAATGTTGCATCGTATGTGCAACCATTCA